TGCTTATTTACCATCTGTATATCCTGGTGAGGAGTTTAATCAGATCTTTTGCCTGTTTCCTGGGGATTGTTTGTTTTGTTATTGTTGAGTTTTAAGGATACATTGTATATATTTTGAGTACCATTCCTTTACCAGATGTGTTATGCCAATATTTCTCCCTAAGACAGCATCTTTTCATTCTTTAACAGTGTCTTTTGCAGAAAGGAAGTTTTTAATTTCAATAAAGTACAATTTGGCCTTTTTTAAATTTCGTAAATCATACTTTTAATATTTTATCTAAAAATTCATCACCAAACCCAAGATTGAATAGACTTTCCCCTGTTTTCTTCTAGAAGTTTTATAGTTTTGCATTTGACATTTAGGTACATAATCCATGTCAATTTCGATGTAAGGTATAAAGTCTGTGTCTAAGTTCATTATTTTGCTTATGGAAATCCAATTGTTCCATCACCATCTATTGGAAAGGCTATCTTATTCCCAATGAATTAGCTTTGCACCTTGTCAAAGATAAGTTGACCCTATTGGTGTGAATCTGTGTCTAGGCTTTCTATTCTCTTCTATTGATGTGTGTGTCTATTCTTTCACCAGTACTATGCTATCTTGATTATTGTAGCTTTATAGTGAGTCTTGAAATCAGCTAGTGTGAGTCTTCTAACATTGTTCTTCTTCGGTATTGTGTGACTCTTCTAGGTGTTTCACCTTTCCATTTAAGTTTTAGAGCCAACTTGTTGATATCTGTAAAATAATTTGCTTGGATTTTGATTTGAATTATATTGAATCTTCAGATTAAGTTTGGCAGAATTGACATCTTAACAATATCATGTCTTCCAATCCATCAAGATAGAATCTCTCTCCATTTGTTTAGATCTTATTTGATTTCTCTCATTAGCCTTTGTAGTTTTCTGCATATAGATCCTGTACATATTTTATTAGATTAATACCTAAGCATTTCATTTTTGGAGGGCTTGTAAAAGGTTTTTTTTTTTAACATTTCAAATGTTAATTGTTCCTTGTTAGTACATAAGATGACAATTGACTTTTGTATATTGAACTTCTATCCTACTATACTTGCTTATTGGTTTCAGGAGATTGTTTTGTACATTCTTTGGCATTTTCTCCATAGACAATCATGTCATCTGCAAATAAAGAATTTTACTTCCTCCTTTTCAATCTGTGTGCTTTTTCTGTCTTTTTCTTGTCTTATTGTACTGCTGGAACTTCCTGTATGATGTTAAATAGGAGTGGTTCGAGAGGATATCCCTGCCTTGTTCTTTATTTTATTTTATGAGGGGAAAGAATCTAGCCTCTCACCATCAAGTATGATGTTAGGTGCAGGTTTTTTGTAGACGTTCTTCATTAAGTTGAGGAAGTTCTTTTCTATTCCTAGCGTGCTGAGAGTTTTATCGTGAGTTGGCTGGATTTTTGTCTAATGCTTTTTCTGGGTCAATTGGCAGCATCATATGATTTTTTTCTTTAACTTGTTAATATGGGAGATTACATAAATTGATTTTATCATTTTGAACTAGCGTTTCATAACTGGAATAAATCCCACTTGGTCGTGGTATATAATTGTTTCCATACATTGCTGTGTTTGACTTGCTAATATTTTGTTAGAAGTTTTGTATGTATATTCCTGAGAGATATTAGTCTGTAGTTGTCTTGTCATGTCTTTTTCTGGCTTTCTTCTTATGGTAAATGGCTGACCTCATAAAATGAGTTAGGAAATGTTTCCTCTGCTTCTATTTTACGGAAAAAATTGTGGATAATTGGCATTATTTTTTGTTTAAATGTTCAGGATAATTCACTAGTGAAACCATCTGGGCACTTGTGCTTTATTTTTTGGAAGGTTATTAATTATTGACAATTTATTTAATAGATATAGTTAAGCTTATTCATTTCACCTTTTGTGAGTTTTGGTATTTTATCTTTCAAAGAATTGGTCAATTTCATTCAAATTATCAAATTAATTTGCATAGAATTGTTCATAGCATTTCTTTGTGATTAAGTCCATGAAATCAGTAGTGATGTTCCATGTTTCATTTCGGATATTGATAATTTGTGTTGTATGTGTGGGCATGTATGTATGTATCTGTCTCTGTCTTTCTTTTTGGTTAGCCTGTTAGAGTTTTAGCAATTTTATTGATCTTTTTTAAACAACTAGCATTTGGTTTTGTTTACATTTTCTATTTTGTCCCTGTTTTCAATTTCATTGATTTCTACTCTAATTTTTTTTTTATCATTTCTTTCATTCTGCTTGATTCAGGCTTGAATCGCTTTTCTTGCTCTAGTTTCCTAAGGTAGGAGGTTAGATTATTGATTTTTAGATTGTTCTTCATCTTACATATAGGCCTTTAATGACATAAATTCCCTTCTAAGCACTGCTTTTGATGCATCTCACAAATTTTGATAAATTCTATTTTCATTTAGTCCAAAATATTTTTAAAATTTCTCTTGAGAATTCTTTAACCCATGAGTTACGTAAGAGAATGTTGATTAATTTCCAAATGTTTAGAGGTTTTTTTCCAGCTATCTTTTGGTTATAAATTTCTAGTTTAATTCCATTGTGGTCGGAGAGTATACATTGTATGATTTCTATTCTTTTGAATTTGTTAAGATGAGTTTTATGGCCCAGAATGTGGTATATCTTGGTGAATGTTCCATGTGAGCTTAAGAATATATATTCTTCTATTGTTGAATGGAATACTCTATAAATGTCAATTAGACTAAGGGAAACATGAGGATGTTCCTGAAAAGAAACTGAGAAAGAATATGATATTAGGTGCTATGAAGCTAGTAAATGAGTAATTCAAGACAGAAAATGAAATAAATCAGGATCCAAATTACTGACCTCATGTCACTGGCCTATTTCCAGCCTGAGGATTTAAAAAAAAAAAAAGATAAGTGGTGGAGTACTGAGATTTTCAGAGTTGGAGAATGGCAGGTGTATTTATTGACAATGATGCATTAAGAGAAGAAGCCATTGTGTGGGTATGTATGTGTGTGCGCGTTTGTGTGTTTGAGGTGATTTGGAAAAGAAATGTGTTCCAAAGGTTTTTAAAATACTGGCTTTCCTTGATATTTGTGATAGTTAACCTAAATAGTACCTGGGGCTACAAACTAAAGAATGGTTTTTGATCATTCCCAGACCTTAGTGCCCATCTTTTGGCCACTGTCAGATGGAAATCACAAATTATCAGATAAAGTACAGCAATAAGATTTCATATTAGTTCATTGTTTCTGCTATGGTGCTGGATACAAAACTCTTTTCCATCATGACTTTTTACCTCTGGGCCCTTAGCATTCTTCATCTCTATAATCCCAATCCTGTAGTATTCCCCCACTCCCAGCTCCCTGCTCTTCCCCAGCCTTATTGCAATTAGCCTCAATCCTATTCCTTCTCTAGCAGTTTTTCACACCATGCTTTTTAACCATCTTTCCCAGTACTTTAGGTAACTTCCATTTTACTGGCAATCAGTTTTCTCTTCCACTTCAGCCCTTATTTTCCCTTTAAATAATCTTTCCACCTATTTAATTAAACTGGTACTTGGACTTCGCCTGATTATGCCACCTTTCGGGGACGGCTACTCTCCATGACCATTGTCTAACCTATAAAATCCATACCATTTGAAGATAACTGCCATTTACCCTCCTCCTCTTTATCACAGTGCTTTATGTGCTGCCTCCTTTTTGATTTCTCAAGGACGTTAACAGATAAGTCACTGTAATCCACTCTATTCCGTGATGCTGGGAAGCTTTAGTGTGAGTGCAATCAATCCATTTGATATCAAAGCCCGTCGTTCCCATGACCGCCTCTCTCTTAGTGATCTTTCTTCTTCTCCATATTGGCAACCCACTTGTTTGGCTACACTTTAGAACTTATTATCATCCAAAAGTAATTTTAAACAAATTTTAACATCTGAAGTTCTCCCGGCCTCTTGTGTTTCTGCCTCTGCCATTACTCCGCTTCCACCGAGATTCTCTTCATTTCATGTCAACCTCCAGTGCCTTGACTTCGTATTCATTTTCAAGTATATCAGTCTCAGTTATATTCACTTTTTCCCCCACCCAGCTTGGGCTCCTTGACTTACTATGTCAACTCTATTCTCACTTGCCCCTTTGCTATCTTGAGCCTATCTCTTCCGCTCTGAATCATCAGCCTAGGAAAAAACAAACTACTTCCTTTGTCCTTCCAAGATGCTGACAGTTGGTGGCAAACATCACCTAAGCAGGTACCTAGTGCCATCTGAAATCCCCTAGGGCTGCTCAACAATCGTTTCTCTTTTCTTATCTAATTCCTTCTTGCCATCCCTGTCCCTTTTTCCATGTACATGTTACACATTCTAATCTTTTCTACTTTATTCAAGTCCCTAAGCATTACTCACTTATTCACAATTGGTATCTTCCTCATTTCCTAGAGATAACTACTAAAATGCCTTATATGGCTCTATGTTTACTCACATCTTTGCCTTCTTCCATCTTTTGCCAGAATGAATCACTTCTACTTCCTCTGATTTCCATCCCTTCAAATGTTGTCTCAGTAATTTTAATACTAATACTTATTATTGTTAACTGTCAATTATTTAATTTCATCCTTGAATCTTTTATTTATTTATTTTTTTGGTGAGGAAGATTGGCCTTGATCTAACATCTATTGCCAATCTTCCTCTTTTTGCTTGAGGACGATTGTCACTGAGCTAGCATCTGTGCCAATCCTCCTCTATTTTGTCTGTGGGATGCCGCCACAGCATGGCTTGATGAGCAGTTTGTAGGTCCATGCCTGGGATCCGAAACTGCAAACCTCAGGCTGCTGAAGCAGAGCACGCAAACCACCACTATGCCACTGGGCTGACCGCTAACCTTTGAATATTTGATTTCTTTTGTCTCTTGATTCTTCGCTTGAGCCTATAAAAGTATTGAAGTATCATTTTGTTTGAAAAGAATATTTCTTTCCATAATCTTTCCTTCCTTTTATAATACGTTCCCTTTTCTCTTCTTGAAAGTGTGACCTACATTTCCTGGTGCCACTGAAAGAGAGAGAAAATTCTGACGACAGTGTGCAGACTGGATGAGTTGTTGACAATAGTCGTCCTGGTTTTCTGTCATCCATCATCAAGTCTCCAGCAATCTGGCTTTCATTCTTACGATGTTATTGAAACTAGACTCTTCTTGATAGTTTTCATTAAGCTCCTAATTTGAAAACATAATGATGAGAAGGTAATCTTGTTTTGCTGTTGTATGCTTATTTTTCCTATCCTTACAGGTTCATGTCTGGCCATAGAGCATAATCACACATGCCAAAGATAGAAAAAGACTGTGTCCAATCAAGTAGAAATTTAAATATCACTGCACTTGACTTTTCTGTGGCGGTCACTTTAACATACCTTCTTTCTCAGAACAGAAGAGCAGAGGCCTAAGGGTATGTATTGGTCAGGGTTCTCCAGAGACATAGCACTACTATGAAATGCACATATATATTCAAATGTTTATGAGATTTATTAGGAGGAAGTGGATCACAAGATTATGGAAGCTGAGAATTTCCACCATCTGCCTTCTGTAGGCTGGAGGCCCAGGAGAGCCTATGATCTAAGTTCCAGTACAAGTGCAGAAGATGGATACCCCAGCTCAAAAACAGGCAGAGAGAAGAAATTCTTTCCTTCTTTTTGTTCTATTGAGGCCTCAAACAGATTAGGTGAGGCTCCCCCACATCTGGGAGGGCCATCTGATTTACTCAGTCTATGGAATACAATAAAATGTTAATCTCACCCAGAAACACCCTCACAGACATACCAGAATAATCTTGAACCAAATTATCTGGCCATCCCACACCCTGGTCAAGTTGATACTTAAAATTAACCATCCCAGGGTAACACAGACCTGGGCTCAAGTCCCCAGCTCTGTCACTCACTACTCTTGACTTCAGAAAACTACTCTTAATTTCAGTTTTCTCTTCTGTAAAATGTTCATAACATCCTTTCCCAGAGTGGCCGTGGGTATTAAATAAGTGTGTAAAAACGCCTTGTTCACAGAGTGGGCACTGAGCAGAAGTTGTTTCTTTTTTTATCCCCTGCTCTTACCTCTCCCTTTAAAAAGGATTTGCTTCCCATGATATCTTATCATATTTTGTCCGCTCTACTTTTTAAGTAAACAAAGAGTGACCAGTGAAGGGATTCTGCCATCTCCCCTGAGATAATCTTTCATAGATTAAGAGATCTCATTGCCATGGAATGTTTCCTGATCTTTGGCCGAAAGTAAATAGCCTCACTAGTACCATATATAGAAAATTATGATGAGCATGGTTTGTGACTTGATACTTCTCCATAACCATGGAAAAAGAAAACTTAGGTTTCATTTTAAATCACTGTCTTGAATCATAATAATCTAATTTTTTTTTTTGGTATTTATTTTCTCTTCTTTTTTCCCATCGTGAGAATTAACTTGTATTTCCCTAGGTGAATTTTAAATTCATATGCAAATTTTTAATCATTCTAAGTAATGTTTTAAAATATCTCTTTCTTCTGATCATCGTAACAACTCTACAAAGTATCTCATATATTATTTATCCCTTGTCCTTGGTCTTCACTAAAGCTCAACATTATGAGCTTGATTCTGACTGAGGACTAACGAAAGCCATTTCATTATTTTATGCTGTAAAGTGAGTAAGATTTTGCTACAAAATGTTATATTTTGACCATCATTTCTCAGTCAATATTCACTAAATATACATTATTTCTTCTATCCTCATTAATCTAACACTCAAAACAATTCTGACTTTATGGAAGTGTTCTTTCACTTTAAATGAGAGAATCTTCATGAATAGCTTTATGCTATGTCAGTTTTTACATAGCTTCACCATATTTCCCTTTCTTTCTGTCCTAAAATAAAATCCTTCATGAACTTATGAGTAAACAAGCAAAGTGAAATGAGATAATTATTTTGTGACCTGATCAATGGAAATAAACACCCTGGATAATTCAAGCCCCATTTCCCACTTTTTCTTTAATAACATTTACTGAGAAGTCACAGTGGATTTTTAGGTAATTGTCTCAATCTTCTTCCATGTGCCCGAGTAAACACAGCTAATGGGTCTGTTTTACATAATGAAATGTTATGGAAAATTAAAAACATAAGCCTGGCAGGGACTTTCAGAGGTCATCTGGAGCATCTGACTTCCTCTAGCAGGCTTCTTGTAAATCTTTCTGTAAGAGAGAATGTCTGTGTCTAGGTTAAGATTTGCAGATGACACAAGGCTGAGTGATCTAGTAAATATGATTACAACTTAAAACAATATGCAAGAAGTGGACATGCTCTATCTGCGTTAAAGCATGAAATTAATAGGAATAAATAAATTCTGTATTTGACCTCAAATTTCAATGGCACATGTAGAAGCTGTGGAACAGGAGTGGAGAGAAATAACAAGGTATAGTGAAGAAGGACGGTGGCTGGGTCAAATCTTGTACTGTGGCCATGTTCAGAGCATTAACTGATGTGCTGGGTCCTACTTGACCTGAGGCAGTTGCTTGTGCTCCCAGTCTGGTGGGAAACGGATGGTCATCTACTGCTTTAGAGACAGTCGACTAGGGAGAATAAAGGTGTCACATACTTAGCTTACATGTTCAAATGACACTATCTAATGGAGTATGAACTGGAGAGCAGCCTTTTCCCCTAACTTCCTCTCTCCCCTCTCTCAGCTACAGAGAAGCAAAGAGTTCAGAGAGAAAAAAATAATTTAGGACTAGGAGCATTGTGCAGACATATGAGAGATTCCCCATGAAATCCAGAGGATGAATTAAAAATTTGTGCCTTGACCATCCCTTTGGAAACCCAACGTAGTTGAGATTGTTTATTCTGTTATTCTTATTGCTGTCTTAACTGCAAGCCAAGCATTATCCTCCTCCACTCCCCCACCAACATTGGGAAGAAGTTGGGAGATTGTCTAAATCCACCGTTGATTACTATTCCTTTGAATTATGTGTTCCATCTACCCCACTGCCATTCTTGTGGGACCCGACCTCTGGTGATTTTACTCCTGATCTTGTCCTAAATTAACGGATAGTAGAGCTCCTAGTTGCAGCTATTTCTATGCAGTGCCTGCATGAGGGCACCTCTAGAACAGGAGTGATCATGGGGTAAGCTTCCCTTCTCTTAAGGGCCCTGTCATCTCCTTCTCTTTACAATACCATTAGGAGAAGTTGTATGGTTATATCAGACTTGGCTGAATGGCTGAGTTAAACAAGAGAGGATATTTTAGATCTGGTTTTTGCATCTCCACAGATTTGCTCTGACCCATTATGCCCTGAGTCCTAGCCACTTGCTCAGTAGACAGCTCCAGCTACCTCCCTATTTGCCTTATTACTAATGCTGCCACCTGTCTCAGCCTCTCAGGGAGAGGTCTGAGCTTTGGCACAGCCTCCATCATGCCCACCAGGGTGGGAGCCACAGTAGCTTTGGCACCCAAGTCTAACCTAACTGGACCCATGGAGTCTCTGCCTCTTCATACCACTTTCCAATTCAGATGAAGCGCATCAGTGCTGGGAGTGCGACCTGACTTCCCGGAGTGGCCAGGTACACAAGTGGAAAATGCAGAGGAGTTAATGCTCCATGGGATGAATTGAACTTGGATGAACACGGGGTAGGAAGTTTAAAAGGATTATACCAAACGTTCTCCTTTCTTCAAATTCGTGACCTTCTTTCTACCCCTATGGTGTTCAGCAGATGAATTTTTACCTCTCACTTCATGGAGAAAATTCATTAATTTGTTTTTAATTTTTCAGATATCTGAGGACTCACTATTGGTACTTACTTTTTAGCGTGCAATAAACAGGAGCTATATCATATGAGAACTCCCTCAGTTTTCTATTACCAAATCTACAACGCTGGTTACATTTACTTCCAGCCTGCTTTATGTCCCCTTACATCTCATTGACCATAACTGAGACCCATGGCCACCTCAGCTGCAAGACAGGCTGGGAGACGGGGCACTTGGAAAGACAGATGGGATTATCATGATTGGCTTTAACTGAACAATATTCATTGTCTGGGACTCAGGACATTGTCTCTATATAATGAGGAATTTGTTTTCAAGAAAGCTTGTAGAGCTGTCCCTGTAGGTAACAACCAAGAGGGCATCTGTGGCTGAGGACTTGCTTTCCCGTTCCATTTTAGCAGTATGCTTTAATCATGGCTCAGAGTCATTGTTCCACCAACCCTAGCACAGCACCTTCCATATATTTCTCCATATATTTCTTCCATATATATTTCTACTGTGTTAGGCAGTATTTTGAATGTTCCAAAGCTTGAATAATTGAAAATCCTACAGTATAAGTCAAAACTCCAGCAGGTTTTTACACTCAATTGAGAAAGATAAATGTTTCAGCATATCTGCCCTCAATTTCTTCTCTCTCTCTAGATGAAAAAATAATTTCTCAGGAATTTGGGAGACTCTTGCAGTTAAGAGTGCAAAGCAATTTCTAGATGATGATGTAATGAGGAAATTTTTAATGCTTCTTCAATTTAGTAAATCCTTATAATGCTCTATGTCTAGTTTCTCCCTGTAACCAGCAGTTCAGAAGTAGGCATTATGAAATTGTAGCTCAATTGTGGCAAGGCCTCCTCAATGATTTTCTGTGTATTCCAGTAAGCATAATGGCTTGGGTCTATTTGACCACAGGTATTTATATTATTTTTCCCCAGTTTGATAATCATGGTAAAAATTTATTTCTGGATCCAACCTAGCGTGAATATTGTAATCTGAGATATAGCTGAGTATTTAATGCAGATCTGAAATCTTGGGAGATAATTCCTCAGGGGTAACTGCAGTGAAACTAGGCACCCTCAATGTCTGGTCTTCAAATGGAGTCACATTAAAAGGAAGCACAAATTACTTCCAGAATCCTTGAAGAACAATGCCAGTCTTCAAGGTAGAAATGTGAAGGGAGCATGTAACGTACTACATAAAGTAACTCTCCTTAGACACCACCCTGCCTGTCTTCAATTTTCACTCTCAAATGGCCAGTAGAAAAATCCTCTCTTTGTCCATGGCCAACAGAGCAATAGATGCCCCATTCATCTTTGCATTTTCCACAACAAACATAGACACAGTATCATCCTAAGCATCCACTGTTCTGAAGTCTCATCATCCTCCTGATGGTACTTCCTGACCTTGCAAAATTCTGAGTGCAATTATGTTCATAGGCAACTCTCCTAGATTTTGACCA